GACGAGGGAATGAACTCCCATGGGATACAACGGAACATTATCCCATGGCATGGTAGGGTCGTATTGGGATGGCACAGAATATTGATAGGCAACGCCGCACCACCCATGCGTTGATCGGGACGGTCCAGCCACAAACTTGAAATAGCAACCCCCCCCCCCGTCGTGGGCCGTGACCGACTGAGACTGATTGAGAGAGATAGGTATCCGTACACACCCACGGCGAGTTTGAGACACGCACCCTGGAAGAGGTAGGTAGAGTAGCTAGGCCAAGATTGGATGGCTTCGACGCGGCTGACAGCCAACCGGTGCGTGGCAGCTCGCGAGTTGTGGGTATTTCTCGGTCGCCCGTCCGGCATTATCACGGCAGCTCTATAGAGCTTCCAAGGGCTAGCCTCATCAACCTCCTTCACCAATTTTCGAAACTTTACCAAGACGTCTAAGCTAGGCTTTCGCCCAGCTTTGGTACGGGTGCGGCTGGCTGAAGTCTGAGGGCATACGTCGTCCCCTTCGCCGACAAAAAAAAAAAAAGCCACAGATATTGTATTTTGGAGTTTCACACGGGGCGACGAGAAATGATGGTAGTACCGATTCTACCCTTATGATCACACTTTGAATGTGAGGCTGAACAGCCACTCTTCGACGCCAGACCCGTGAGACTTCTAGGGTCCAGTTGACTGGACATGTTTCGATGTCGAAAAAAGCCTACTTTTCGAGTCTACCGGTACAGCCCCCCACCCCCTGTGGCCTCATCTCGTTGCGGCGGCGGGCAGGGATCCTAGAGATAAGGAGAAATGTACAAGAGGTTTGAGTCCGGCGCCCGGTGATGCAACAGTAGCCTGCATGGCGAGTTCTATCTCTCGAATCTGGCGGCGATGGCCAAAACTCAGCGCGGGATGTATCTATCCTAGCCAAGGCTTTAAGGCAGTGGCTTCCCACGACGTCGACAAGGCTAGAGAAAAATCAATATTCCCAGGGCCGGGCTACTGGGGGTTCAAGATAGGGAAGTAGGTAGGCAGCTGAAAGCTCCATTTGCCCAAACTGAGCTGCGCGTGGCCCCAAGCGGGCTTCCTCCATGTACTTTGACAACGACTGCTGCTGCTTTCAGGTGGCCGAACGTTGAGCACACCCCGGTTCAGCGTGCTGTCTATCGTCTGCTTTTGGTCCAAACAACCGGGTCGGGCAGCCGGGCTAGGTATCATGCAAGAACATGTGCGTCGGAACGCGAAAGAGGATGTTGGCGACGGTCGGGGATTTTTTCTTCTTCTCTCCATGTTGCGGTCTGTAAGTAAGTATATGTACGTGGTGTGCCGGTGCCGAGCGAGAAAGCACGCAATGCTGGCTTGTTTGGGCGTTTATCCAGATTGTGCAGTAAGGAAGGCTGGGTGTCTATCCGTATCTGTAGGTGAAATGAAGGGAATTATTGAGTCATCCTAGTCGATTGGAATGAGATGGGCTTGGGACTGCGTCAAGGATTGTGAAAGTGTCCGAGTGAACGACAGCAACAATCCAGCCTATCCAGGTGACTTTGAGACGGCTGACTTGGCACCAGGAACCAGGCACCATGTGCCTTTAGTTGTTGATAGTCAGAGGACCGCCACATTAGGCGAGTTGATAGGTTGTCACGACTCACCAGGCTGAACTGAGCTCGATACAGACAGACGAAGAGGAGGACATGGAATCCTCGCATAACCCGGCTGTCAGTTCCGCTTTGGCGAGGCATGCCCTGCAGTTGAGAGACACACTGACTCTTGGTGCAAGAAGAGGAACCAATCATTGAAGCAGGTATGCACATATGCACATGTAGGTTTGTCCGAACTCATTGAGTGAAGACTGGATTCCAGATGATGAGAAGATAAAGATAAGATCAGTCGAGCACCTGAACGTTCCACGACCTAAGGGACCTTGGAATAAGGTAGGTAAGACAGGTAAGGTAAGCACGATGAATGAATCGCAACGATGCATACCTACATAATACCTTATCTTACCTTCCATGAGTGAGAATAAGGCAAAGTACGTACCGCTGGGATGCAGTTCAATCGCACCACATGGATGGAGGCAAGATTGCTATTCGATAATTCCTTCCTTCGTGAGTTCAAGTTCGGTTCGCCTGCCCTTCCTGCCTGCAGCAGGCCTATGGAGTAGGTAGGTACACCTCGTACTACAGAGTACGGAGGTACAAGCAGCTGGGACATTAGATTGTCCGTGGCGGCAGATGGTTCCCGCCATCCGGCCCCCCAACAAGCTACCTTAACAACTTACAATCGTCGATATGCCTCTTCGCCGTGTGGCCGTACCACCAACCCGTCTCACATCTTAATGCAATCCATGTTCATACCAGCTGCCTGGCCCTGCTGGCTATCCACCGGCACGAGCAAGCTTCAGACAGGGGTATAATCTTACATACATGATACCCTCCCACGCTCACACACCCAATGCCACGCCAAAACACTTTCAACGATTACGATGCCCACAAAAAAGCAAGAAATGGCAAACCGCCGTCGACCAAGGGGGATTTGCGATATCCAGCCGCTCCATGGTCTCGTTTGCGACCTGCCTGCCCTGGGACCTGTGGGCCTTGCTTCGGCATGGGGCCGAACCTTTTTCAAAGGAGCACTTCGTCGCCGTCTCCTTCACGCACTTCTACCTCATTCAGACGCCAGCAGTCTTGATAGAACAAAAGAATGCGGACGACACTGGATGACGACGACGAAGAAGAAGACGGGTAGCGGGAATCGGCCCCAGGATCGTCATATCCACCCAAAATCTCGGTCTCGTGCAACAAACAAGAGGATTGTCGTTGATGTAATGGGAAGACATGCCGAGTGGCGTATGGGGCACCTACGATGGGAGCCCAAAGATAGACGACGCTGCAGTAGCTTTCTGCTTCCCCCTCCCCGTTGCCATGGTCGGCTTTGAGAACAAAAGACCCGTCGACAAACCGTCAGACAGACGACCGCTAGTCTTACTTGACCTAGCCTAGTCGACGGCGGCGAAGACGAGGGCGATGCGTCGTGGTGGTCAGGCACACTCATGGTAGCGGTATTGGTGGTGATGGGAGGACGAAACTTACGGGACGGACGGGGGGAGGGGCACATTGGCACACCATCAGCAATTCGCCAATTCATCATCGGCATCATCCACCCTTACAGAGTACCCATCACCGGGCCCTGATTCCCCTGAAGCGGACCAGCGAATTTAGCTCAACATGCCCCTGTCCAGTGCGGCTGGGCTGAGTCCTCCGCTCATGGGGAATAACCTAAACGTGAAGCCAACGCCGACACCAACGCCATCAATCGGGGCCCTGGAATGTCCGCGCGAGTTTCCGTGCTGATGATCTGGTACTGGGTACCTGGGCGTCGCCTAGTGGCTTGTCTCCCACCGACGCTATCGAATTCCAACCAAAGACTTTCTTTTACTGCCACGATCACAACGCTCGTGCTGGAGCCGGCGCATCCCTGCAGCAAGGTACCGCTACCTGTCTCTCGAATACGAGGGCCGTTTGGTCAACCAAAAAAGGCACGGAACTTAGAAGGCCAAACGTCTTCTCTGCTGCATAAGCCTACACGTATTACGGGCCCAATCAAGCCCAGCAGAAGAGACAGCCGCCAATCTTTACTGGGCGACCAGTCCTTGCTGAGCCGCGCAGCTGTGATTTGCTGTGCAGCGCTGGGAAAAGACAGTAGGAAACTTGAACCCAACTTTGGCTACGGCACAAAACGAGGCGAGGCCAATGCCTACCAACCAGCCTGAGTAGGTTGTCACCAGGGTTCGGAGACGATATTCAAAGGCCCCGTGCCAGTCCAATCCTACACATCCTCAAAGTCCGGTGCCGAGCGTTGGTTCCAAATCTGTCAAAAGCTTGAGCTAGTGACCTTCTCGTCGGTTCATTCGCGTCCTACCTTGAACCCCCAGCCGCGAGTCGTCGAAAGACGCTATCTCAGTCAGCTTTCTGGACCTGGACCTGACCGTGCGATTCAGGGGTATCGACAGATGGACCGGGACGAACGAAGACGTACTCAAGTCTGACGGCAGCCCGGCAACACCATTGACACTATCGTACGGGTTCTTCTACCCAGGAAGCGGGACTGACGGCGGCGCCATTTTCCAGCGTCTTAGTTGGGATCGTCTTGAAGGCTGGACTCGCCTTGGTTGCCAAGAAAAGACACACATTGGAGCCCTCGGGAGCCAGAAGCTGCAGAGAAAACGAGCGAGCTGCACGTCGTCTGGGACCCCCGCTTGGGAATTGTCCCAATCCACGTCGTCCATGCACCCATCCCATCTCCTTCTGCCACCACCCCCATGCATATCCCATGTCCAACCCCAGGACACACACCACCGCCACGCCTTAAAGCAACCTGGGCTCCCGACCGAACCCAGCTTCTGTTCCGGGCTGCCTGGTGTTCCTCCCAACTCTCGCTCATCTATCCATATTACTCTGGCTTTTGCAATCCGCTTTCCCGGAGCAGCATTACATAAGGCTGCTTATAGTTGTTTGCTTATATCCCTCCCCAACCTGCCTCACCCGTGTTACAACCCTCGTCCAACTCTCGCTTCAACCTCCCTCCCTCCATCCATCCGTCCACCTGCCAGAGAGGCACGAGCCATCTCCCGCAACGACCGCTACTAGTGAAAGTGAACGGACGACTTTTCGCCAAGCCGACACCTTTCCCATATCGCCAAGTCAGAGAGTCATCCGAACTGGGATTTGGTCTGTGGTACCGCGCGAGTTTCACCTGTGCCGCCCGAGTATTGCCAAAACCAGTTGCCCGGGCTCGACTTATACGAAATCCTGCCAGTCAAAGAACAACAGTACCCCGGCCATTTATTATCATTTCACCTCCCACCAAACCGAGTCGAACCGGATACTCTTTCTTCTCTTCCAACAGAGATATCATCGGCTTCTTGATAGAAGTGCGGTTCATTATTTGACTGTTCACCCCGGCTATACCTAGCAGCAACCTTGCCATCTTTGGCCCTACGGCGCCAAATCAAACATCAAGATGGCTGTCTTTTCTCTTTTCAAGAAGTCTAGGCAACAGGCCAAGGAGCACAAGCAAAAGCAGGCAGAGAAGGCCGCCGAGGCACCAAAACAGCCGTACAAACACATTCCAACCCATGCTGCCATCGACGCACTTGCCGGAGCACCATCAGCCTTCAAACATGAGGACCGACCCAGGATTATGGAGCAAAACCGGCGGCGGAGTGCGATGGCCGCCAGCGGCTTGAGTAGAATGCCCGGCCCAAGTCTACCTCGCGTCTCAAGCAGTCTCTCGCACGTCACTTATCCTTCCGCTCACGCCAGCCCAATGGGTAACATGCCGAGGGCATACAGCTACAGCGGCGGACCACCCCCGATGACCTATTGGCAGGATCGCAACACTAATTCCGTCTATGGTGTCCCTGACGGCAGCCGCATCTCACTTAAGGGCTCACTCAAGGGCAAGGAGGTGGATAGGTCTTATGCCTCGGGACGTAACAGCCCGTCATCCGTCAAAGGTAAGCTGCGCTAGATGGACTTGCCAGTTCGCAAGACAGCCAAAGACTAACACGCGGCAGCTGAATCTCCCACGGGTAGCTCAAGTCGCTCGACCAGCTCACAGGAGGACTTGGAGATGAAGCCCGCTCGTCATGTTTCTATGCCACCTGCTGCCTCACAAGCACCCCGAAACCCAGTTGCTGCTGTTCACACACACAGGCTCCACCCGAGTTCTCGTCGGGCATCGGATGCATCGGAGCGTGCCGATAGCTCCCCGAAAGCTGAGCAGTCTTCGCCTTCCACAGACCGAAGCAAGCCGCCGCCGTCGATGCGCGGATTCAACGCCATCCCGGCAATGACGTCTCTTCCACCGATGCAGTTCGGCAACTCTCCATCAATCCAGCAAAACGTGGTTGCCTCGTCAGCCGCCTCGACTGCGAGCGTCCGCTCTTCATCAGGATTCTCCTCATTCAACTTCAATATCAACACTGGCGCGCCTTTTTCCGCACCCATGTCCGGAAGATCGTCAGCCGCCACCACCCCAGCAGCTTGTGTAACGCCCGAGCCAGTGTACGAGTCTGTTGAAGAAGAGGAAGAGGGCGGCTCCTACACATACGCCCCGCAACCCGTTGCCGCTGCGCCGTCTGCCATGAAGTCGAAGGATCGTCGCAGCACCTCAAAGTCCAAGATCACTCGGTTTACCGAATTGGAGACCATCGACTCCAACACGGAGAAAGCAGTCAACGTCGCTAGCATCCCCTACGAGAACACTCGCCGCGACACCACGCCGCCTCAGGTCATTAACAAGGCTGTCGCTGTTGAAATGGTCAGCGCCGCGCCCTCTGAAGTCGTTTCTAGCAACAAGCCCGGAAAGCGCCTCTCGAAGCAAGCGGGCTCTAAGCTGACTAAGAAGAGCCGTTGGTCAACAAAGAGCCCATCCGCCGTTGCAGTTTAAACGGTACTAAGACGTTACCGTCTACATCATACACCCTCATACGCAATTTTCCTACGTCAACATTTGCTCATGGTTTTGGGTGATAAACTATAGCCTCTTTTACAACAACCGGCGCGGGCGTTTGAGAGTAATGTCTTATTACAATGACGCCATAAGACTCGGAGTCTCTTGGCTTTGCACCATGCAACACTTTGGGATCGAAAAAGTTCGTCGGGAGGGCACCTTTCAGAGTTGCTGCCGCTGGACTTCAGCAACACTGGATACTTACAGGGACTTGAATATCTTCAGGGTCGGATCCGGGATGGATCCAATTATTTCCTTGCTTATTTGATGACCATATCATGACCACAGCTTATACCGATAACATAGACACTTTCCTTATCTCTCATATCACTATTCTACCACTACCACTACTACAATGTTGGCAAAATAGCGACCAACGGAATGAAATATCAAAACCTTATTCTTCAGGACCCCAAAGTATCTCTCTTGTTTGCTTCTGTGCTTGGCCTGATGTCGAGCATTATCTCGACTCGAGACAAAGATCCGCATTCACGTGGGGAAAGTCTTGAACGAGACCTTCGATCTTCGATGAGACGAGAGAAAAAAAAGAAATAAAGAGAGACAAAAATAAGCTCATAATCGTTCCTTTTCTTCATCCCTTCTAGTTCAAGTGACGTGCCCAGTACAACATTGCAGCGAAGTCTTACATCATGTTTAGCGCGTGGATGTGGGCTAGACATTGGGTGAGAAAGATAGCCAGGCCTTGACTGCGTTGACTGCCGAGAAATATTGAACGGCAAAAGGGCTGGATAGTGAGTGAGACGAGACGATTGTCTCGGGGGCACGGCACGGCAGACAGAGAAAGAGAGACACTGCTCTGATGCCTGCAACTTCCATGTACGCCACGCTAATCAGCTTTGCCTACCAGCCTAGTAAGGCTTGGCTTCCAGGAGAGAACCTGAAAGTGACCAAATATTCTTCCCATCAGCATCCAAGCGGGGGAAAACCTTGATTTACTCGGCGTCGGTTTAGCTACCTATCTGACCCTCTTCGGTTCCTGGCTAATAATGAAGCTACCTCCAAAGCCGCCGTCTGTCGGGACCGGACTAAAAGAGGCAAGGTTTAGTGTCTTTAGTGCGTTTCCCGAGATGGTAAGGTTAGTGTAGCAAGCGAGCAGCTGGAAGTTCGCCAATCTAGACCGCGATGCCGGGTGCGAATTGTGATCGTCAATGCTATTGATTATTCGGCGATGTAAATGTCAAGAAATAACCAAAAGTGTTACTTCCCGTCCGGACCGGACTGCTTTTCCAGAGCGGCAAGGACCCAGTACCACGGCCACGCCGATTGTCAAAGATGGGCGGATGCCACTGTCCGGATAGTGTTGTGTAAAAGGGAAAGAGATCGTCAGGGTCCACACGAGGTTTTTGCGTCGATGAACATGACCGGCAGGCAATGGCCTAGGGATCGTCAGGGACGAAGGGCTTTGGTGTATGGGTCTAGTGTAGATGATGAAGATAGAAGTTGGCGTGTCCAGGCGTGTCGAGCTTGATGAGGTTATCGACGCAAGAGGCAAGCCCCTCCTCAGCCGCCAACACGCGTGAATTCGGACACTGGGGGTGGAGACTGATGGCAACGCCAACACACGCGTTATCGAGTCCCTGCATATGCACTAAAGCCAGCTCATGGGGATGTTTTCCTCCGCAGATTTGACGGGTCAGATTTGGCGAAGCAGGCTGAGCGAGGTGATGGTTGGATAGGCGGGATCTTGTTGTCTCGGGTTCAAAGACCAACCAACTTGTCAATGGAACCGAGGTGAGGTACTGTGAAGAAACGGATCTGCACGATGCCGTCCAGCTGATTCGATGCTCGTTTTGCACCTCTGTAAGCTGCAAGTTCATGTTGTCGTCCGAACCGAGCAGTGCAAGCCTGTAATTGTCCTATATTGGCATGGGCACGATCAGCGGCCATCATCGCGCTGAGTCAACGTGTCTGTCAGCCAGTCTTCGGCCGAACACAGGCATGCAGGGTTCGATGAATTATTGAGTGATGGCGGAGGATTGTGCGCCGCATGGCATATGCGGTGCAACTCGGGCGCTTTTGCCCTGCCTCAGCAGCTTTAATCCTGTATCCGCTTTCCATTGATTAGGCACTCTTCAGTTTCCAGATAGCGAGAGAAATACTGGGCAAATGCAGCCCCGTCTATTGGCTCAATTGGGATGGGTTGCATGCAGGTTCTCGGACGTCTGGTTTGGTATAGACCGGCCCAGGTCATGTTGGCAGTCTTGGCTACCTGTCTGACCTGCATCGAGGAGGAAAATACCCATGCGGAGCGTTCGGGGTCCGAGTGAATGTTGAAGAGGATTCGCTTCTCTCTTCTCTCTTCGCTTGGGACTGTATTGATCAGTTGACCGAATATGGATAGGCTCAGGCTCGAGAGGCGCCTGGGAAGAGCACGGGAAAGGCTTGGGATGCAATTTCCACAGGATAGCCAACTTGCGCTCAGCTCTGGTAAGCCATGGCTTGAAGGAACCGTCTGGGCGGCTCTGGATGACCCCTGGTTGATCGTGCGCTCCTCGCGGGGCTGGGGTTCCGTGGTTCCTCAATTTTAAAGTTGACGAGAGTCCTTTGGCGCTCGTTTGGAGGCTTGTCAGATGAAATGCCATTGGTACCATGGATAGCTGGCCACATTTGTGTTTCTTGTCTAGGTGGCACGGGAGGTGATGATGGTGTGAGACGGGATGAAAGTACCAGATACACCTCTCTTCATGGCGAGCGGCTTCCCAAGGGCGAGCTTATGTGGCGTCGCGTGGCTTTGGGAATGCATGGCATTTGCCGGTAGTGACGGCGGCTTGCAGAGAGCGGCTCAGGTACCGCTGATGGAGATGACAACGCGCTTATTCTCTAATTATCTTCTTGTTCTACTGAGTAGGCCGAAGATGAAAGAATAGAGCGATCGTGGGGGTTTGTTGCAGACGAGATAATATATGCGCAGGTATGTCGATTTGATACTGTCAACCCAGCGTGGGGGATGAGTTGAGTTACGAGCCTGGAATGTGGGTTGGCCCCGAGCGCAACTGGTCTTTTCATGGCATTGCGATGTCTTGGGTCGGAAACTGACGCAGCATGTTCGTTGATTGTGGCTCGGCTTGAGGAGTGTCGTCGTCGTCCACCACCAACTCCACACGCAATCATTGAGGTGGAGGTATAGAGAAGAGATGTTGTCAAGTCACTCGAAGGAGCCGTTGGAGAGGCTTCAGTTGTCAGTCGTACGCAAATAAAGTCTGAATAGGTAGGGTTACGCTGGGGAAATGCAAGAAATGGCCTTCTCGGGCGGTGCCGAACAAACACGATGTTGCTCCCAAAAATAGGTATCCGTAGGTGAAGATTGCGATTCATGCCAGAGTCACATTTGCATTGGTTGTATGCTGCCCAGGTCAATCCGAACTTGCAATGGAAAGTGCTAATGCGAGGCTACAGTGTTTCCCCCACAAGCCGAAAATAGCGGGCAAGAGCATCCCCTCAGGGGACCTACCTAGGGAAGGTACCTAAAGAGGCACGCTAGGCAAGGCAAGTAGGCATCTACCCCTCCATGGCAATTGGGTCCTGCCATTGGAAAGTGCTTCAAGGGTCCAACCCAATTGGCCAGCCTCGTTAAGCCACAAAAGGGGGGCTCCCGCGAGCTGCCGCGTTCCGCATTACGTATCCCAGAACCCCAGAAACGGTGGTGCCGAAGCTGCTACTTCGTACATACCCGCCAATTCAGTCGATGCGTTCGTCTCATTGTCACTGACTTCAAGCTGCAGCTGCGGCAGTTGCAGCAATTTTCTTTCTTCTCTGGTTATTGTGCGTGCAACGGATACTTATTCTCTTTACGTCAGCTTTCTCGCAACACCCACTCTTTCTTTTGTTGGCCTTGACTAAAGGCACCTAGGTACTGTACCAGCCAGCGCTCATGGTCACCATCGCGACACTACAATGGATCAAATAACCCAGGCTTCGTGGCCGGCCCTTGGCGTCGCGCTGCTCAGTCTTGCCGCTATCGGTCTTTTCTCTGTAAGCTGGATCCTCCATATACATGGAAAGCTCGAACTTTATACCAAATATTGCCAATTGAACCCAATTGAAGCTGACAATTTGTCCTCGACAGATCTTCATTACCCTCCACCTCGTCGCTCCGAAGCCCCGCGCCGTACTCCCCTCCGAGAAAGTCTACCTCACCTCCTCCGCCTCCGGAAAGCCAGTCCAGGTCGCAGCCCCCTCCTGGTTCGATCGCTGGTCCGCCGAGCGCAGCGTCTCCGAGGCGCGCGCACACCTGACTGATCCTCGCGATGTCCCCGACTCGGGTGCGACAATCGACCCCGCGGACGTGCGCCTGACCGTCGTGCTCCCCGCTTACAACGAAGCAACCCGCATCCTCCCGACCCTCGAGGAGGCAGTTGAATATCTCGATGAGAACTTTGGGCGCCCCTCCTCCCCAACCAAACCCCTCCTCAGCCCTACCGCCCCGCGTCGACGCTACAAGAACCCGCCCTCTGAGGCACTCACCGGCTACGAGATCCTGATTGTGGACGACGGATCCAAGGACAGCACCGTGGATGTCTGTCTCGACTTTGCGCAGAAGAAGGGCCTCCACGATGTCATCCGCGTTATCAAGCTCGAGCGCAACCGCGGCAAGGGCGGCGCAGTCACACACGGCTTCCGCCACGCTCGCGGCGAGTACGTGCTCTTTGCCGACGCCGACGGCGCTACAAAGTTCAGCGACCTAGGACGTCTAATCCAGGGCTGCGAGGAGGTTGTCGACGGCTCGCACCGCGGTGTTGCTATTGGCAGCCGCGCTCACCTTGTCGGCAGTGAGGCTGTTGTAAAGGTATGCCGCTCTTGCAACCCCCTTAAACCCCTTCTCAATGCTAACATTGCCTAGCGGTCTGCCCTGCGCAACTTCCTCATGCGCTCCTTCCACCTGGTTCTCATGATCCTCACCCCGCCTGCCACCTCCC